TTTGAAAATTTAATTTCAATAGCTAAAGTCAAGGTTTTGTTAGGCGAAACCAACAAAGAGTTGGGTCCGGGAACTAATGAAATCAAAGCCGCCTGTAGCAATAAATTCAGGATCAATAGTGCTGTCTCCAATATTTTAGATATTCCTTCCAATACTTCCAATGTTCGATGAAAGCCCTTGTTCAAATATAATTTATGTTGAATTGCTTTATACGTTACGTAAAGTTAATAATATTTGTCGAATCGGATGAATTCAAAGAAATGTTATATGTAGTAATTTGTTATACGTTACGACAATATGAATACCCTATTTTATAAACATAGTTAAATACAATACAAAGAAAATAATATTCAACATTGCGGTGTATTTTTCGTATATCCGTAATCCTAGCGAAATTGTTTGGTTTCATTTGTGCTTGATTGTATTGTCTACGACGTTTGTTGTGATATCAAAACAAATATGTTTCGATTTGATATGCAAATGATATACATTCAATTTCGTGTGTCACTCAGTAGCTAATTGTTTTAGTGGCATATTACGATATTTTATTGCTCGGGAATAAACCGAAAAATTCACTATTGAAGCTGCGTTATTGTTTTACTATGATATCCATGAAGTCTGCGTTCTTGTATTTGCGTTGGATTGTTTCAATTGGGTTTGTTAAAAATTTAACTAGGCCCTACATACCTCTTTGGTTTTGCTGTGGAATTTCTAAGTTTATGTTTTTCGTGAAGTAGGCAGTTATTACTGTAGCGCTTTGTTTTTTTTTTGTTTTTTTTTTAAGGTTAACGGTCACTTTTCACCTTGCATTTGCCCGTCCACCAGACTATTTTATTTACCCGTTCGTGGAACGTATCCAGCAAAGCAAGGGGCGAGCCGGAACAGTACGAAGGTGAACTATTCTGATAAAATGTTTGCGGCAATGACCAGAATCCGAACCCACGACTTCACTGCCTTGAGTCCGAAGTCCGTGACGCTACCGACTGAGCCACCGACTCAACTAATACGATATACGCACAAAAATATATATGCGACATTCGTTTTGAATACGAATTGACTGTCTTGATAAAGCTTGTTTGTCTTAAAGCTTGTTTCTCCGTCGTTTGGCTGTACTAAATATGGGACAGTTTGGTAGGTTTAGTTTAAGCTTTTAAAACTAAACCCAGCTTTTTATTATTGTTTTGTTGGCTTATGTGTTGTTACTGTTGCATTTAATATTTATGTGTATCAACTGGTTTGAAAATATTTGTATTCTTTAAACATTAGTTTTCGAATCCATTAATTTCTTGTTTATGTTTGTGTTTTATGAATAAACCACAAAACTTATCTCAAAATCCTAATATAATGATATATTTTGAAAATTAGTAGTTTAGACACATTAAAACTTCTGCATAAACGTTTTGCTCAGCATAAATAGTTGAAAAATAATACATTATTAACCATCAATTTAATTTAAATAGTAAAAATACAACACCATAAAGATCAATTAGTTTAGAAGCAGGCTCAATGAAAGTAAAACGCTTTAAAACTCAGACCAATTACAAAGGTAGACGATTACCAAGCCAATACCAATCCAGACCAATTACAAAGGTAGACGATTACCAAGCCAATACCAATCCAGATCATCAAAGGATGCTCTTGGTCTTATTTGCTCAATTATCTCAATCGCTAGTCAATTGTAGAACCTCGGGCAGAACTATCTCTTGGTATAACACTATACCAAACATTCAATAGTATGTTTTACTTCACTTATTAGTGCACAACCCACAAACATTATTACTGTGAAATGTTCTGTAATTAGTAAACATAATATTCATAAAATATTGTATAGCTTTATCCATAATGTTTATGCAATACATTTGCTATAACTACCGGAATATAATAAGCGATGTTACTAGAACAACCTAACCTTAAAAATGGAATTTTCAGTACATCGTCTACTAAAAGCGTTGGGCTTAGTCAATTGTTAATACTTGTTTATAAGATGTAATGAATTTTAAAATGTAAAGTATAATCATCCTTAATTTGATGTTAAAAATGTTATAGTAAATATCTTTATATAAATTCTTTGAATTTAATATACATGAACGGTATCAACAAACTCGCACATACATTATTTTTCCTATCATCCGGCCAACAAACTCTTATCATGAGCAAGTTATAAGAGTAACTGTGTGTTTTGTATTTTGTAGGTGAATTCACAAAATAACGATTACTTTGGAGTCGTAATAATTGCAGCCTTAGGGATTGTATCGTTTACTTTAGAGTTAAAAGCCATGGCGAAGTAGTTTTTAATCGAAATCATTTCGGCCATTTTAATGAAAGCCGAATTGTTCCGTTAATTTATGCGGCTATACAGTAAAAATCAAACTTTCCAAGAACTAAAAAAAACTCTTGGAGACCATAGATTAAACTTTTTTGGTTTAAAAGAACCCAAAATGGATATTTTTACTAAAAACATGATTTTTAACCCAATTCCGAGTTCTACAAAAATCCAAACTCGAAATATTATACAAAGACGACAATTTCCTTACCTTCTAGGATTGGGGGGAAGTAAAAAATAAAAATTGTTAAAATAAAAATATGTTTGCAACCACAGGGAAAAATAGAATTGGTTTTCGCGGGAAGTTTTTTATGAATCCTGATCTTATGTATTTTCCGCCAACAGTTTTCTGAGAAGCGTACATGAATCATATTTCTGATTTGTGAGGTGAAAGCTGCCTCGCGTTGTAAAATATAGTTTTGTTACTGGCTACCGAGGAATGGGTTGGAAAATATAATGTTTGAAGTGCCGAGTGTATAAAAGTAAGTGACCCGTATATAAAAAGTCATTATAACTTGTAAACAATCTTCTATAATATGATTTGTTGCGATTGCTTTGTTGTTTGTTTTTCTCTCTTATGTGTTCAATTCCATTACATATTTTATTGTAAACCATAAACAACGTTCAATGTAGATTTAAAGTTAGGCTACGCATATTTGCTGTTTTTCATACATATATATATTTTTTTTATTATTAACTCTCACGTATAAGATATATTTTTAGACTGGGTTGTAATTATCACACTGCTTGTTTGTAAAGTTTAGCTCAAATTGTTCTATATTACCTTATTTAAAGAATTTGTCGTTCCACGGTTCAGCCTCCAAAATGTTTACATCAATAGTAACCACGTTAGTGAAAAATTAATTCGGTAGTTTCCATTATTAAGGGGGGCGAGCTGGCGTATCAGTTAGAGCGCGGGACGTCAGTCCCTGAGGTCCCTGGTTTGATCCCCACCAAGTCACCAATGGATTTTATCCAAGTGGTAATGCCACAACCTCTAGGTCTAGCCACTCTAACCTTTAACCTCTAGCTAACCTCTAGGTCGCTAGAACCAATCGACGGCTTGCTGTACGCCTTGGTTCTGAAGTCTCTTCTTTCTTCGCTGCAAGTTCTGGTGTTCCTCAGGGGTCTCATCTTGGACCGTTCTTGTTTTCCATCTTTATTAATGACATTAAGAAGGTCATCAAAGTCCCATTTCTTCTATTTGCGGATGACATTAAGCTACTCGTCGAAGTTGCATCACATCATGACTGCCAGTCCTTGCAGGACGCCCTCGATGACGTATTTGGCTGGTGCCTCTCCAATGACATGGCTGTGAATCCCACATAAACCAAATTGATCACGTTCAGCAGGAAGTTAAATACAGTGTTAGCTGACTACTCTCTTGATGGAACCGGGTTGAGAGATGCAATACCATCAAGGATCTTGGTGTTCTAATTGACTCCTCATTCGAGTTTGGACCCCACATAAACCAAATCTGCACCAGGGCCTCTCGTATGCTTGGTTTGGTTTTCCGCTCTGCTAGACATGGTTTGAGCAATCATGCCTGTATTATCCTATACAAGTCTCTCATCCTGCAGCTTCTCGAGTATGCTTCCTTGGTTTGGTCACCATACCATCTTGGCCATATTTACCATCTTCAGTCGGTACAAAGACGCTTCATCAGGTTCCTGGGATGTCGTGCTGGACTTGACTTTCGTGACGTCCGGGTAGATGAGCTCTCTAATATCTATGACATTCCGAGTCTTGAAAACAGAAGGCGAGTGGCTGATGTGACCTTTCTCTACAAACTGATAAATAACCAAGTCAACTGCCCCTTCTTGCTGGAAAGGATAAACTTCCATGTTCCTTCGAGGATCACGAGACATCAGCGTGTATTTGAACTGGACCATACTGGGACCAACTACGCCAGATCTAGTCCCATTCCCCGGATCATGCGCCTCGGGAATGTGGTAAGCAGCTCTGTGGACCTTTTAACTGCCTCCTTGGGGGTGGTTCGGCGTTCTGCGGCTGACAGCATCCTCGAGGGTACACCATAAAATCATTGTTGTTGTCATTCCTTTTTTGTTGATTTTTCCCATGTTAATATTTGTGATCTATTTTTTTTTTTGTATTCTTGTTATTGATATATTCATTGTTATGTTTTGTTATTGTTATATTTTTTATACATTGTTATATTTTTTATGCATTGTTTCTCCTCTGTTAATTATTATATCTTTATAATATTTTTTGTAACTACTTAATGTAAAATGGTGTTTGCCGTTGGTGTTTAATAAATAAATAAATAAATAGGTTCTGAAATAATGTGAAAAACAATCCCAGGCTCGTGCCTAGCGTCCTAGGATAGAAAAAATATATTAGTGAAAAAAGCTTTAAGTCAGTTTTGTCAAGAAGTTTATCCTGACAGTGCGTAAAGCACAAATGAAACTCCCTTCTTTGGAAAAGGATTCAGTATTCGAAAACAAGGAAACTATAGGAATTAGCACTATGCCAATCTTCAAACTATCATTTAGGCCAGAAGATATGCCTGACTTAGGTAGGTATTTCCGTGATGCTTGATAAACATTGGACAAAATTACCTTGGTGAAGCAAACAGACGGGTGGAGGAAATGTGTAACGCAACGGTTTTCGTTAAATGTAGAGATAAAAATTTTTATTGTGTTTTTTCTTGTTTCAGACCACTTGGAAGGCACAGAAGAAGAGTTCACTCAATCGAGACACAACATCACTGTGTAGGCTTGTACAAAAGAATACACATCTGTAACACGAAGGTAAGAAACAATGAGATACCAATAAGATTTACTTCCTCAATTATGTAATTTTCACAAAATCCAGCATACGCTACGAAACTCTTATTTCAAATTTCAAACAGAAAATGCCTAATGTATCTGGTTTACTTTCTTTACATGATTGACGTTTTAACCTATTCCTGATATACTTGAAAAATTAAGTAGATGTGAAAAGTTTTTATTATTATTATTAGGGATAGCTATTTTGATTTTATTTGAAATAATTTAAGCCTGGTCTTAAAGAATTTGCTAGTTGTGACGCTTATAAATGCTTATGTAGTTCTAAAATCTGTTTTTTAAATGTTACCTCTTAGAGACCAACCCATGGAGAAAATGATGGAAATAAAATTTTAGGTTATATTCTACATAAATCTATTTAATCAAAAATATCACTCGACCTTTCTGATAACAGTACGACTATTCACTGCAGAAACTTAGCTATAGTCATATTACAAAGTTTGAGTCCTGTTCCTATATTTATCATGTTTGGTTCTTTGAGTGTGCTACCCTTGACTAATTTTTTCTCTAATTTTATTTTAGGGTTTTTTAACGAGTTATTCACTTTGTAATGTTAATTTTGTAATGCAAGCAATGAAAGAAAATCAGTTCAGCTTTTGGCCGTAACCGTTTTAAACGTGCTTTTCAGATAATTGGTAAAAATAAACTTTTTATATATAATGTTAGGCCTACGTTCTACAAGTTGCTATTAGACATTTAATCTTCCTTTATATATTGGCTTTTCCGTTAACGATGATTGACGGATGAAAATGTATAAGGAATTTTAAACAACACTCAGTTTAACAATTACTATGCACGCAAGAAAGATTGGTTTTACCGCAAAAATTGATTAACAAAAAAACTCCGGGTAAGGAATGCGAGCAGACGTGTAAAATGCACGTCAACTCAACAGACTTGTGGGAAACGTGTTGGGGTTTGTAACCACGACACCGCACCACCACCTTCCAACTACGACAAGTTTGAACAAGCAGCAAGTCGGAACACGGTATTGGTTTTTATATAGTTAAATACCCTTGCCGCAGCAAACCTGCAGACTAAGCAAATTTCCATTTGCATGGTTAGATTTTCATTCAAAATTCTTTTTTAACTTGTCATATATATAATAAATAAACTATTATTTGGTTTTGTATTACTCATGGTGAGGGAATTTGTTTGTAGATTGTTTCCTAAATAAATGGTGCAGTTTTTAATGATCTTACAAAAATGGCCTGGTGAGGTAGAACATTGAGGTTGGTATTACCTTTGACTCCAATAGTCGGCGTAGTCACTGAATTCTTTGGTTCGAGTATTTTTATACACCGTCTCGAAAAACTTCTGTTTCATTGTTATCACTTACTTTAAAAACGTAATTTTGATCCGAAATTGTTAATTGAATTAAAGTTAGTCATTTTTGTGCAAATGACTTTCAGAAGATTTTAACCGTGTATGCTCCTTCAAGAATGTTTGTAACTTGTTTGATTAAATAATTTAAGAAAGTGAAAGAAAATATAATTTAATTGGAATGAAAAAACATAAGTTTGTAATGTACAAAAATCAGGAATGAACTGTTTGGTAACTATAGCAACTCATTAGAATATACAAAACCAAATTTATACTTTTAAAAAACAAATTATTGTCCAGCTGTTTTTGAACAGTATTGGTGCACTCTAGACATGGTATTGTATTTTTGCTAATTTTTGGTAAGAAATAATCACGTCGGGGTCACCACTGAAGAAGTAGATTCTTCTTTAACTATGTTTGTAATTTGTTTGATTAAATAATTTAAGAAACTGAAAGAAAATATAATTTAATTGGAATGAAAACATAAATGTGTAATGTACAAAAATCAGGAATGAGCTGTTAGGTAACTATAGCAACTCATTAGAATAAACAAAACCAAATTTATACTTTTAAAAAACAAATCATTGTCCAACTGTTTTTGAACAGTATTGGTGCACTCACCACACTCCTCATAAAAATAACAACAGACGTAGGCCTAGGAGTAAACTGTTCGTAGAAATTGGATAAGTAAAAAACGGAAGACTTCTGGGAAACCATCTTTAACAGAGGTAACAAATAAAAAGTGAGACAGTCTTGCACTGTAAATATTTAGAAAAATCTCTTACGCGTCGAAGTCTGGAGCTTAAATCCCAGTGAGTACCCTTTATAGAATAGTAGATTAAAATCTGCATTTAAACTACATGCGTAAATTTATCAACTGGTACACGGTATCAAACCGAATGATAGGAATAAACTATTAAGTTTTTAACCTAAATCTTAAGTCAAATTGAAGAAAATGAATAAGAAAATTGTTCTTAAAATTTTGGTTAAACTATGGTGAGGTTGGTTCCCTCGTTAAAATAAATCTTAAAATAATAATCTGTAATGTGATTTTTGAGGCTGGATAAAAATAGTAATAAAAGATCTAAAGATGAAGAAGGAACAAAAATACGTCAAATAACACTTGTAATAATATATGTACACTTATACTGTCTACAAAGTCGGTAAATACTTATAAAAGATAGTAAATTGTGATTGATTTCGATTAGACACTCCAATCAGACCCAATAGGCGAATGACAAGAATCAAAATGGCGTTCCTTGTATATGTGGCTCAGCCAGAGGTTTCTATGAGTTCAACTGGAGTCAAAATTCACTTGTTCTTTAATTAGCTTATTTAAAAAAAATGTACATCCAAATTATTGTATCATTATGGAACTTTCAGAACAAATCCAATATTTATCAAAGCTCATGAGAGCTTGTATTAATATTCGCAGTAGTATACTTGTTTTAAAATGTTCCAATGACAGAACACTGTATTTCCTGTCATCAGGCTTTTAGTTGTCTATAACTCTATTAAAACTGTAGACATGACAATACTAGTTAGGACTTCCTACTCTACAGCCTAACTTTGCACTATTGGTCACAACCTTAATTAGGCTAGAATTATGCATGTCTATAAAGCAGCTTCAACAGTTATAACAGGTTCTGACATTGATTTCAATGGATCCAGTAGCACTTAGTACTTTGCCTTAGTATTGAACACTTAATGCAAAGTCTTGCTTATACACTACTTTATCAACCTTTTGTTTACTAAACGAAATCGTTGCAGATAATCACAACTATTAAGCTTGACAATTATAAGAAGTTAAAAAATGTGTTAATTCATCACTTATTAAAATCTTAATTAAGTAATATCTTGTAAGATAGTGTTATGTTAAATGTTGTTTAAATATTTTTATTTGAATATTGGTTTATTTAAATTTTGGTAAAGGCGATGTCATATTTTAATACGTTATCAAATTTCTTAACGTCTATAAACTAAATTATAATGTTAAATTGAAATTTACACTCTCTCATGAAGATTGACGATTTACAGCTGTATTATATGTAGAGTGGAGCTAATCCACTGATATAAGCCAAGTTGTTACAAAATAAATATTTTCTAGTTATGTTATATTTGTATTTCAATATAACAGTTTAGAACAAAACTTTGGGGTTTTTCTGTTAACTGATTTATTTTAACAATGTTTGTGAATTAAAACATTAAAATAGGAAGATTTATATGGGCAAACTGAAATAAAAATGTGTTTAACATTATTTTATTTCTTTTCAAAAGTAATTGGATTGTTCATAACATTCAAAAAACATTATTTTTAAGATAAGTTAATGGTAAAAATGTTTCGCTCTTAAAATCAATAATGAAATATTATTTTTCAATCAAATGTCTTGTTCGGTTTTTTGTTAGCATATTCATGTCATGGTAAACATTTATTAGGTTGGGCAAACATTCACAAAAGGTTTCCAACCATTATCTCTACCAAATTAAATAGTTTTTTTTTCATACAGTTGACATTTTAAATCTAATAATATTAAACCTCAATTTGAAGCTTTCATAAAACGAGTTTGATTACATTCCTATCCTAGGATTCCATGAGTTGAATTAAATTCCCCGTAGAATACGGTGTGGCTGGAAATACTTTTCATTGTGGTGGTGTTGCTATTGACTACAAGTCATTAAACATAGTTAGTTAAGAATGTAATTGATATGTTATACACATTTAAATTTTAAAGCGTTCAAAAGTATTAAGTGCGTAGCTTAGAGCTCATTTACCTTTATAAGAGGTGTGCAAGTAAGAACTTTATTGGTCAAGTATTTTCGTGTGAGTGTTTCGTTTCGAGATTTTGAAAATAAGTTTGAAAATCATGGTTTCTTAACTCAGCAATAATTTGCTGTCAAAGGCCTTTGTTACTACTCACACACCCCAAGTTGTTATAATATAATCGCACCAAATCGCTTCGTTCATCTGCTTTGTACAACTATTTTTTTTAAATAGTAGCAATTTGCATTAAACTGAGTAAAATAAGACTTTAAACGTGTTTTCTTTTAACTTAAGTTACATTGGCGTTAATTGCATAATCGTAGTACCCATTATACATTGCAAATTTAAACTGCAAGTTTCTGCAAGATTATCATAAAAAAATATAATCTAACCATCGATGTACAATAACTGTATAATAGTAGAGTATTATACATCTATGCTTCTAACTTGATTGAAATACCAAAAATATTAAACTGAATTTCAATATTTAATTATTTATTCATTTTTAATAAATTTTCCATAAATTTTAGTAATGATTTTGATCAAACCTAACTTCGCACACGGAAAATACTTTCAAAAATGAAATAACAACTTCCACCTGTTAAACAATTACAAATACAGTATTTATAAATCAAATATATCCAAAAGAGTGCACAGCGCTTCAATGTAGAAATTGATATTAGGTTTTTGTTTTGCTTGAAATGCGTCAGACATATGTCAGATGCTGTCTAAATGTCTGCTTAGACCAGCTCGCGTTCCTCCCCTCTATTGTTACAATTCGCTCCTAAACTATTGTACAGAAATAAAGAGAAGAGTCCATGTTTTAACAATATATATATATATATATATATCACTTGGTTTGGATGAGTACCCTTTATTTGGG